GGCCTGTTGGCTGGCCCTCGCGCAGCAACCTCTGACCCCCCCATTTGTCCAACCCGGAATCAAGCAGAGAATTTGGAAAGCCGGAAAGACTTCCGCGTTTGCAACATCAGCCGCTCAGCAGCCGTTCCAAGCAGATGGGCGAGAGTCTCCCGGCCCGGGACCTGTTCTCCGCAGGGCAGAAGTGGAGTGTGAGAAGAACAGTTGTGTTCTTTGGGGACACTCGGTCTCTCCAAGAAGCTCCTGACCTTTTGTTCTCAGGGTTTCAACCAGAGGAATGCGGTGGGAGAGGCTGTCTTCACGCCAGACTGCAGAAAACTAGGGTTATCGCTCCTTCTGCTGGTCACCAGCAGCATTTACAGCTGGGCAAAAAATGCGCTGATGCTTTGAATTTGGCTGGAGGAAAAAAAAGGACCTCTAATTTTGTTCCTTTCCCCCACAAAACACTTTTAGATCGTCCCCTTTAACCAGAACTCTGCCCTTTCCGTACCATCTTAGATGCTCAGCAGACTTTCTGCATTGGGTGAAATCCCATTTATCTTTTATCTTGGCACCATCCATTTCTCGCCTGTGTTTTGAGAACGTAAGGGGTGCAAAATGATTCCTGCTGAATTTTTTTAGCAGCCATCCTGGCATTGGAGGGTGATCTGCCAAAGGCTGAAGGTGAAGCCCCCACTTTCCAGGTTTCTTTTATTAATCCAAGTTTTCAAAGAGATGTTGCAATGCACTGGAACGTGTAGTGAGCAAACAGAACTTTTGCACCCAATTATTTAGGTTTAAGAATACAAGCTGCGGCTTGTCCGATGAAGCAGGAACCAGCTGTTAGCAAAAGACCAAAATCCTGTTTTTATTTTCTCTGTTTTCCCTCCAGCTCCCCCCAGAATGAGAGCAAAAACTATAGAAAGATTGCATGTCGCTTTTTTAGGTGGGGAAACAGACAGAAGATTAACGCACGGGAGAAGGAGGAGAGAATACTCTCTTTTTTTTGCTTTTTTTAAAAAAAGACAGCGTATTAGCAAAAGACCAAAAGGACAAAATAATAAGGGGAGACATAACACAAAGACAAATATTAAAAATGCTACCGGTCCAGAAAAACACAGATTTTAAACATCTTGGTTTAGTGTTTGTGTAGAAAAAAAATTAGCTGGAAATATCCGTCAGGAGGTACAGATTTAATTAAAAAGTGGGTCTCAAACTTAAATGTTAATTGAAAGTTGCTTCAAGATTCTCTCCTGTTGGGTTAATTTTTCAGCCGCTACAGTCCAAACAAAGATGTATTCTAGTTTTTTAGTGGTATATATTGCAGCGGGAAAAAAACCCCTGCATTTCTTGTGCGCAGACAATCCTGGCACCCATGGATCGTAAATCCACCCCAGAATGAATGATCAAAGATCTATGCAAAATTTCTTGTTTTCCTCAAAAGACTTTGAACCCACAAAATCCATTACAATTGCTATCAGGGCTGCATAATAAATACCAATTTGATTCCAGCATTCCCAGGCATTTCTTAGCTCCAAATGTCTTGGATGGAGGGCGAGCGAGCGAGCGAGCAAAGCCCTAACGCGGCCAATTTTGTGACAGTTTTCCAGGCTGATGTTCAATCAAACTGATCCTTTCTGCACTGCTATTTAAAAAAAAGGGGGGGGGCTACACCTATTCCAGGCGGCTCACAAGCAGCAGTGAAAATACTCCAAAAAGCATCGTTGATATAAAACACAGCCCACCAAAAAAGCAGCGTTTTAAAAACCCGTGAAAATAAATGCAGATTATTTTGAGCCGCTTTGGAAACTGTCGTACGTCAGTTGTGATTTAAGGCCAGGGGTGTGTCTTACATTAAAGATGCCATTAAAAAAAAGGTGTCACTCAGAGTTGTTGGGAGTCGGGAGGCATACAAATTTAAGAAATTGCCATTATTATGGTTGGTCGCTCAGTCAGCCAGATGTTTAGACTGGATTTGGCATTTTTGTCCACCTATCGAGTCCTTCCCAAGGACCTGGGATAAACAGATTATTAATGGCCAGATGTTTAGACTGGATTTGGCATTTTTGTCCACCGATCGAGTCCTTCCCAAGGACCTGGGATAAACAGATTATTAATGGCCAGATGTTTAGACTGGATTTGGCATTTTTGTCCACCTATCGAGTCCTTCCCAAGGACCTGGGATAAACAGATTATTATTATTATTATTATTATTATTATTATTATTATTATTATCATCATTATCATCATCATCATCATGGCCAGATGTTTAGACTGGATTTGGCATTTTTGTCCACCCATCGAGCCCATTAAAATATTATTATTATTATTATTATTATTATTATTATTATTATTATTATTATTATTATT